AGCGGCCGGGCGGAGCGCGACTGCCGGGTGAGCAGCTTCCGAGTCAAGGAGAACTTCGACAAGGCTCGTGTAGGTACCGGCCCGGGTGGCCTCGGTAGCCCGGGTCCCCACTCCAGCCCCCCACGCCCGCCGCCTTCCCCGCGGCGGCGGCCGTGCACCCCCAGACACCCGACCCCTGCTCCCATCCCTTTTGCAGTTCGCCGGGACCTGGTACGCCATGGCCAAGAAGGACCCCGAAGGTCTCTTTCTGCAGGACAACATCGTCGCCGAGTTCTCCGTGGACGAGAACGGCCAGATGAGCGCCACGGCCAAGGGCCGAGTGCGTCTTTTGAAGTCAGTGATCCTAGGCTGGCTGCGCGCGCGCTTTGCCCTCCAGGGTCCCCGGGACCCCGGTCTGGCTGAGCGCCAAACTGACTGGGGAGGGAAAGGAGCACCCGGGGTGGGATGGAGGGGGAAGCCCTTGGCCCGGCTTGGCTCAGGATCCCTTTGGCTTTTGCAGTAACTGGGACGTGTGCGCAGACATGGTGGGCACCTTCACAGACACCGAGGACTCTGCCAAGTTCAAGATGAAGTACTGGGGCGTAGCCTCCTTTCTCCAGAAAGGAAGTGAGTAGTCAGCTCAGTGGGACTGTCTTGGGGCTGGAGACCGTACCTGGCCAAATCGCTGGGTTTCTTCTCCAGTGGCACCATTGAGAAGAATGGCCTGCAGGAAGGTCTGTAAGTGGCAGGAACCCTCAGCACCACCTGAGGTTCCCTGAGGTTCGGGGGATGAGATTAGGAGTAGCTAGGCCCCTCCCTAGCTCAAGAAACCTGGCCCAAGCTCAGAAGGACCTTTCAATTTGTCAAGTGCCAGTGTTCCCATCCAGCCACTGTGCCAGGGTGTGTACCCTCCTCCTGCTTGTCCCTCCCACCTCCCCCTGGCCTTGCATTTCCTCTCTCTCTTTGGGCTGAATTCCAGAGACAGGTGGACTACCTGGGGCCCCAGCAGAGGCTGGGAGACCTCCATCCAAGGACGGAGGGGAGGGAGTGTCGTGCATAGAGTGGGCTCATTCCCAAGTGCCCTGCCTGCTGATGCTGAGATTCTGAGCCAGACAGTGTTCTGGGTGGCAGTGGCCTCTTCCCTTTCCCCCAAGAACTGAAACTCACATTGGAGGTGGGGGCCGAGGACTCTCAGAGAACATCCTAAAACTTGGCCTAATCATGAGAACACAATATCTAGATGCTCTTTCTTGCCCCTGCCCCCCTTTTTTTCTGAGTTTCAAATCTGGAGTCTACTTGGTAACTAGAGAATAATGCAGCCCAGGGGGGCATATCTTGGGATCTTAGAGAGGAAGAGTTCATCCTACAAAGGGGTTCAACATACAGATGAATAAACTGAGGCCAAGAGAAGGTAGTGCTTTGCCCAAGGTCATGTGACAAGCTTGTGGGAGTCAATGTTAGAAGTCAGGGATTCCAACTCCCAGGCCAGGATTAGGTGGCCCTGAACTGCAGGGACACCTAATACAGAACAACTTTTGCAAAGTATTGTTTGAGCTCTTCTCTAAGATAGGACCCAGGGGCTGTTCAGAGAGAGTCTGCTTCATGATGCAAGACAGAAGTGACCTTTATGTAACCCATTGCTCTACATGTGGCACACGCTTCCTGACTTCTTCTAAAGTTGTATGTTAGATGAAATTGCAGTTTTTTCGAGTTGCATTTGCAATATTGATTTGCACTGTACAGATAGGGTTGCTATAATACAAGGGAGAAAAGCTTTCATCCTTAGAAATAATAAAAATCATTTCACATAGTGCAGCAAAACTTTCTAAAGTAATTCATTTAGAGTAAAAGATATATATGTCTGATAATGGATTACAAAAATCAATACCAGGGGGTACAAGATTATTAATTTTTCAAGAGAATAAACACGTAATGCTCTACAGCATTTTGAGGTGTGCTCCATAAAGGACTAGGATTCTGTTGGCAATGCCTCTAGGGACAGGGTTGGGGAGGACCCAATGAGGAGGTAGGGTTTTGTTTCTTGCCTCCTTCTCCCACTACCAAACCAGATTAGTTCTGCTCTTGCCTCTTGTATATTGCAATTTTATCTAGGATTTTATTTGGAGGGGAAAAACATTGAAATCTTGAAGGTGATTGCTATAGATATTAAATGAGGTAACTATAATGTGGAAGGCTTAAGGATAAACTTCTTAGGTTACTTTTCAGAAAAGCTGTGCAATGTAGTGGTTAAGCATGCCTGGTTAAAATTAGACTGCCGGAGATCAAATCCCAACTCAACCACTGCATGAGGGACCTTGGATATGTCCCTTAGCCTCTCCGTGCTTCAGTTTCCTCATCTACAAAGTGGAGGTGATCATGGCACCTACCTCGTGGAGTTGTGCTGCGAGAGTGCAATGAGTTAACAAGCAGAAGGACTTAGAACAGTGCCTGAGACGTTAAGTTCTTTCCAAGAGGTTGATATTGTTGTCGCTTAGTTATCTCTCTGGTCATGAAATCATAGCTTTATACTCTGGGTCTGGAATGGGAGAACCCACAGAGACCATGGGGTTCAAGTCTCTCATTTCACAAGTGAGGAAACCAAGGACCGTATTAGAGAAGTAAGTGGCCTAAGGGCACACAGCTACACCCCCTCTCAGCCTAGGGGATGTAATAGGGCACTAACCATCCCTCTGTTTTCTGAGCATCTCACAAGCTGTATGACTTGATGTGTCTACCCTTCCTCTGTGTTACATGCTTATTTTGGGGTTTTCTTTTCAAATTCCTTTTTCATTCCTGTGCCAATTTCTTTCATCCTTGACATTAAACACTGACTTGGACAGGAGGATTTGAAGGCCCCTTAGAGAGTGGCCTGCATCCTCAGTCTCTCCCCTTCCCACACACTGCATCTCACCAAATGGATATGTTTAAAATAAGGTACGCTTATGGAGAGAAAATAATTCAGGGGCAAATGCTCATTAAATTTGTTGTCAAGTTATTTAAAAGTTAAGCGTAATAAATCTTTACAGCTGAATATTAAATTTCAGCATAACAGACTCTGATATGGCCCATGCACTAGCCTTGGGCATGCTGTGTCCTGGTCACCTCTCCCAGCTCCTCCAGCAGCGAGCGACGTGTCTTGGGGGTTAAGGATGTGGCCATCCTCTACCTATCTTGGTTGAATACAGGCTTCGCCACTGACTAGGCTCTCTGAAATTCGATTTCCTTCGCTGTGAAATGGGGATAAAGAATAGTTCCTATTTCATAAGCTTGTTGGAAGGACTAATTAAGGTAATGACTGAAAATGTTTAGCCTGGTGCATAAGTGCTCAGTAAATATTAGCTATGATCATTATTGTTTTGGGCCCTCCCAGAAAGACATGGAGAAAGATTCTCCTTTTATCCAGATAAAGTCTGTCACTCTGCTGGTAAAGGGCCCTTTGTCAGGCTGAATAACAATGCAAGCCTGAATGTCTCCATCAGGGTTTCTCAAAGACAGGGTCCCTGGATCACCTCTATCTAAATCAGCTGGGGTGCTTGCTAAAAATGCAGACTTCTAGGCCCAAACGTAGGCTTACTGAATCAGAAGCTGTTGTGGCGGGGCCCTGGAGTCTGCATTTTCAGTATGCTCTTTGGGTATGCTCCTTCTGCACAATGGAGTTTGAGAACTACTGGTCTAGATAATTCAATCCAAAGAGTTATCTTGGCTTGCTCAGCTATCAAGGCCTCAAGCTCCACTCACTTTGCTGGGGCTTGTTGGGTTATCTTGATAATTAGTCAGAAATAGCATTAAATCCATCACCTGGCTGGCTCGGTTGGACTGGTAGGCCTGAGAACCACAGGGAGCTTCTCGCCTGGTCTTGTCACTTTAGATGATGGGAGGACACAGCAGATCTAGGACGCTGAAGGGACACATTCCAGGCCCACAGCAGTGAGTGGCAGGTCTTCAACAGAACCAGGTTGCCAGCGACAGCTCCTTCTGTCAAGTATTTTCTTTGGTCTTTGGACTGGCAACCCAAACCTCTAAACCAGTCTATGTGGGTAGAGTGTAGACAGATGCAGTGTAACCCTGCTTCCTGGGGTGGTAGACAGGAGTCAGGGGTTCTCATTAGCTGTAATGCATGCAGTTAGCTGCTGTCCAGAAATGTTTGGGGTGTCTGGTTCTCCAGGGGGGCCCTGCCCAGCGGCTGGGAGTGAGCAGCCTGGAGAACTGAGCTCATTCTCTCTAGCAGTGCTCAGGCAGTTCCTCTCTTGCAAATACTCTTAGAGAGGAGAGTCTGGTCAAGGTTGCTGTGGCTTAAATTCCTCATATTTGAGTTATTCAGCGAAAAGGAGCCTGGTGATAAATCAAGCCAACTTAGGTCTTCTTTAAAGTCAAGAACAGTAGTCAATTTTTACTAAAACCAAGCATTGAAAGTTATTTAGTTCCTATGTCAGAATTCACATTCTGGCAACAATTTTGGAAAAAACAAAATTTAAGCTGCAGGTTTGCCAAGCTTATATAGCTGCCTGGATCATGAGGTGGGGTTACATTTCAAAGACAAGTGCTTTTGTGTCTGAGGGGTAGGGTCCTGGGGTGCCTGTGACTGGCACAGTGATCCCAACAACGAGGGAAGAAATGACTTCATTCAGGATGCAAGACTCTGCCCAGATGCTCAGGAGCCGGTGAGGGGAGCTGGTGGTTAGACTGAGACCCAGCAGGCAGCCCGATGGCTTCTATTCCTGGCCTGTCTGCTGAATAACTTTGCGGTCACTGCTGAGCAGTCATAAGTCTGGGGCATCCCTCAACTCCAGCCTCTGACACTGTCACCTGAGAGAGCCTGGGAGGCACAGGGGTGGCTCATTCTTCCTCCTGGCAGGACTGGGTGAGCTGAAAGGGGGCGCCATGCCCACTCCTGCGGCAGTCCTCCTGCAGGTCCTGGGTTTGGGCTGAACCCCATTCTAGGCTGGCACCCAGAGGTGACTTAGGGCTAGCCTTAGAGATGGTCTTACACCCTCTAATGCTGGCAGATGCGGCTTCTCTGCCTTTTTCCAACGTGGAGCACTGCATAGGTGCATGGATCCTGCCTCAAGGCCTGGGCATGAGATGGAGACCGGAAGCCCTTTTGTCTCTTGTGCCCTCTTCCCTCAATTTACTTATTGTCCAGACACTGTGGTATAGAGGTTAAGCATGTGGGCTCTGGAGTCACAATCCCTGTTGGAATCCCAGTTCTGCCTTGCTCTTTGTGATCCCAGGTGAATTATTTCGTTTTTCTGTGCCCCAGTTTCCTCATCTGTAAAACAAGGGATAACAGTGTGCACTTTTGGGCCGATGTGAGAAATAACTGGGAACACATGGAAAGTGTTCACATGGTGACTGGTATATAATTAAGTGCTCAGAAAATCCCAGCCATGGTTATATGTCAACAAGAAGGTTAAATCAAATAGAAATGTGGCACATTTATCCAAATATAGGGTATTTGGATAAACCTGAACGTTATTTTTCTTATTAATGCTATTTCCCATCCTGCCTTTGTTGCTATTTTTACCACCTTTATTTACACTTACTCTTCATGGCTTATATCCCAGCGCTGAGAAATAAATATGATGAAATTCTTCCAGGGCTCAGCTCTGCCTCTTGCGGGGAGCTGTGAAGAGTACAGTGTCTAAGGAGGGATATCTGATGCCACAGGATGGTGGGCATCTCGTGCCCCCGGGGCACACACAGCTCTCTTGCCAGCACAGAGAAGTGAGTAGAGGTGCTCAGCAGGAATGAAGATGGGGCCAGAGAAGCCATGACCATCAGAGCAGGTGCCTCCAGTGGACTGAGGGTTGTAAGATGATTGGGAACCAGCTGACACAGGTCATTGACAGAGACACATCCAGGTGTTGGGGATCACATAAGTTGATGGTTGTCAGGCATTAGCCATAAGAGACACAGACATCTTCGGAGGGTAGCTGGTGAAGACGACAGTAGAAAGCTTTGTTCTGTGGTTTTGATGGACACACATTCTCGGTGGTCCTTTGGAAAGACGCTATCACAGTTGCTGTCAGGGCAAGAGGGAATCGTTGAAGTGAATGAGGCCCCCCCCCCCCAGTCTGGGACTCTTTTCTGTAAAGAAGAACAAGATCCTTTCTGATTTGCTCAATCTTAGAAAAGCTGTCAGAATTCTCTGGCGTCTCCTGGTTTCTATGCAAATGAAACCAGTTTCAGAAAGTCGCCGGTTTCTTGGGCCTGGTAGCGAGGTTCCCCGGCGTCCTGTGCCCTGAGGGGTAAGTACTGATGGGCACTGTGTCTCTGGCTTGCAGACGATGACCACTGGATCATTGACACAGACTACGACACGTTCGCGGTGCAGTACTCCTGCCGCCTCCTGAACCTCGACGGCACCTGTGCTGACAGCTACTCCTTTGTGTTTGCCCGTGATCCCAACGGCCTGCCCCCAGACGTGCAGAGGATCGTGAGGCAGCGGCAGGAGGAGCTGTGCCTGAGCCGGCAGTACAGGCTCATCCCCCACAACGGTGAGTGGGGAGTGGAGCGCTGGCTTTCCCCGAGCGGTCTGCGAGTTCGGGCCCACCTGCAAGTGGAATGCATTTCATCCGCAGGCAAGAGGAAACAGGGAGTCTTAGGAGCCCCCTCTGAGCCCAAACCTTGGTCTGTCTTGACCAGACCTTTCACTGGCCCTACAATGGGGCTGATGCAGGAGGAGCAGGTGGATGGCCAACTTTTTCTAAAACCCTAACACTTTTAATGAAGTAAAACTGTAGTGAACACTCTTTTCCTTTTATTCTGCCACCTGAGGCCATTTCTGTGGTCACGATGTTGCCCCTGGCTACACTGCCCTGAAAAACCATGTTGAGTGAATTAACATCGTTTGGGGTCTGAGTGGCTCCGGCAAAGAGCTGGGACGCTCATCTGGCCATTGATGTAAAAACTTAAACAGAGACAGCAGCATGGCAAGTTCAACAGAGAATGACTGTAGCAAATGTTCTTTTTCATGAAACCAAATAACCATTAAATTGACCAGCTGGTTTTCCTCGCTTACATTTTTTGAAATCCCCTGGAACGACCACAGGATCTTTTAATAAATATCACCCTTGTCTGATCTTGACTGAAAAACCAGCAACACTGTGGAGGAAAGTGTCCCGTTTATTTTGAATTGACACTCACTCCTATGGGAAACTTGGTTTCAAAATCCAAATAGGGTAATGCTAAAATGTAGAAAAAAGGGAATAAAAGTGAACATTTCTCTTAGTCATCTAACTGACCCACTACACCAAACAGATATGAACTCAGACCAAAAACACAGATAAGATTTAAAAGCGTTCCCCTGGGGCAGCCTGAATGTAGGCTGGTAAGGGTTTCCCCACAGCTGGACGCCATCATCTCACTTACCCTCGGAAACGCTTTATTTAGTAGATACTCTTATTATCCACGCTGTACAGAAGAGAAAACGGAGGCTGAGCAAGATTAAGAAAGTTGCCCAAGATCTTCAGTAGGTGGCTGAGTTGGATGCGAATCTAGAGTTTTGTGACTCTGAGGTCCCTTGTGGTACCACCTGGTGACACATGACATGGGACGTGGTGAACACGCTATAAAACCACCAGCAGTGTGGTGAATGTCAGGCTGGCTTGGCCCCCACTGCCTGAAATAGGATGAGCCCCCCCACATTTTGAAATGCAGTGAGGCCAGTTAAAGAGAAATAAAGGGAAACACTTTCATACCGCAGACCCTATTCTCTCGGCACCATTACCCCCAGAGTCAAGGGTTTCAGAAACAGCCTTGAAGATGTTTATCAGTTACAGCCACATGGAACTTGAAGGGTTGTGATCTCCTGTGACCCATGTGAATGAAAAAGCATTTGAATGAAGTCGAGCTCCAAGGCCATCATGGTATTTGCTACCTACATAAACACCGGGCCCATCTTTTTGTCATTAATGTCTTTGTTTTTTATATTTCAGGTTACTGTGATGGCAAATCAGAAAGAAACCTTTTGTAGCAACATCAAGGATGGAAAGTTTCATTTGAAGACTTCCGATTAATTCTCATTCCGTCTTCAACTCTATTTATCTTAGGAGTTTAATCTGCACCTCTCTCCCCAGCTGCCCTTAGTATACATGAGACCTTCAGTACACGTAAAAATATAGGTGGGAATAAGTTAATCTGTTTGCAGCCAAATGTACATCTTTACTGAAGTTTTCTGAGAGATCATTTGAGGCTTAGGATTCCAGACTTTGATTTATTAAAATATAGTCACCCGTTTCCTATGATTTGAGTTTTTATTTGTGTTCATGGCTGTGTCAAAGTGAGAAAACATGTAGATGGTTGGGTGCGGTGCACTTTCATACACCAGGAGAGCATTCTTCCCTCCCAGCTCTTTATGATTTTTGGCCTGTTCTACTGCCTAATCTCCATTATTAAAGACCGTGGCTTCTCCCAACTTCCTGAAAAGGGGGTTTCCTCTATAACCTATCAAGGCCTTCACTGCCAACCTGGCCAAAGCACTGAGGCCAGAAGAGGACGTAAGTGTGGGCTGGGCCAGGTGGGGCCGGTGAGCCCAAGGCCTCAGTCAGCCCTGAGCCTAGGAGGTGGGCAGGCAGCGGGCTCACCCCACCTGGGTTTGAGAGACTGAGATGCATGGGTCGGGGTGAGCTCTAGGAAACACTCCCCCCAGTCCTTCATTGTTTTTAACACACAGTTCACTTCCTATTTCAGGCGTGGCCAAAATGTTGCATTGGGGGAGGGAGGCCTCTGGTTTCTCTGGGGGATTGGGAGATGGGGCCCTGGAAGCAGGGTTTTTGGGAAAGATCACAGCACAGCACCCTGTACCTGGGGCATGCAGGGAGGGGATAGGTTGGGGTGGAAGTAGCTGGTCAGGGGCGGATCACGACTGTCCTACACCACTAGCAGCACTTGCGAACTCCAGTGTATAATCACATGTGAAGCCCACTTGCCTCAGTTTCCCAGGAGCCTCCACTTCTCATCTTGGAAAAGCAATAAGGCTTTGGTACTGGAGAGTCTTAGTTTTAAGTCAAAATCCAACTGGGATATACATTAGCTGTGTGATTTGGGGTTGGTTACATGGCTTCTCTGAGCCTCACACTTTTTTCGTGAGATGTGGGAAAACTACCAGATGGGAGGCAGTGAGGATTCAATTAGGCAATGTCTGCCAGAGTGCTTAGGAGTTGTGTGGACACTGGCCCTGCCAGGTGGACAGCTACAAAATGTGTTGGGAGTTAGGGGAGGGGCACAGATCCCTGCCTGGGTGCTGACATATCCAGGGGCACCTGGGTCCTCCACACCAGTGTGCCTTGTCTCCACCAAAGACAGAGGAGCCAGGTGGCCACATATGGGGAAGCTGTGCCTCCACCAGAGGGAACTGCAGGCTGTCAGAGCCCAGCATGGCAGCTGAACTTTGACAACCTTAGAGACCCATAAGTTATCCATACATCACTTCAAAACGCAGCTTTAATTTGCCAAATCTGTTAACTAAAGGTGAACAAAAGATCCCTGTCCATCTATCCTCCACTTGTGATTGCCATAAATCTTACTTGAGAAGCAAGCTGCTCCAGAAACTCCACAAGCAATGGCCACTACTGGTGCTGATTTATTTGGCAGCAAAGATTTGTTGAGAACCTACTATGTGCAGGGCCCTGTGTGTTCCAGTCATTGGCCCAGCCTCCAGGTGTTGGCATGTCCCTGGGCTCAGTCTTTGGCCCTGGTTTCTTCTCTCTCTCCATTATCTCCCAGGGATATTTCATAAAGCCATAGGTCTGTAAACACCATCCGTTATCTCCAAACAACATTGTGTCTCCAGGTTCAAGCTCCACATCCCTGAATCCAACTTTCTGTTCTATCTGGATGTCTCACTGGGATTTCAAACTCATGCTCCAAATGAAAGTCTTGGCTCTCCCATACTCCTCCCAGTCTTCCCCATTTTTACTGCCTGCTCTACCATCTAACTAGTATCAATCCTCTCTTTCCATCACATTCTGCATCCTGTCCATCAATAAATCATCTTTGCTCCACCTTCCTAACATATATCCCAAAACCATTTCTCACAATCCCCCACAGATGGCCCCTGCTTCCGAGGTTCGTCATCTCTTCCTGCTTCAGCAGCTGCCTACCTTATCTCCATTTTTATCCTTGGTCCTCAAAGTTTATTCTCTGCATGGCAGCCAGAGTAATATTTAACCACATTCATTAGGTCACATCAGCATCCAGTTGCAAACCTCCAGTGGCTGCCCATTGAACACAGGATAAACTCCTTACGTGACCTAGCCCTGTAAACTTCTCTGGCTTCCATTGATGGGCTCCAGCAGGGAACCCCTCTGCCCCAGCACAAGGAATAGCATCTAGTGCAGTCTCAGTCCATAGTTTGCTTTGCTTTGGCCATGCTAACCACTGTTCTTCCTGTCCACAAGCACATCAGCCGCTTTGCACCATTGTCTCCTCTGCCTGCAAAGCCTCTTCCCCAGGATTCACACAGCTGGCTCTCTCTTGTCACTCACCTTTCAACCCAAATGTCACTCCTCAGAAAGGTCTTCCTAGACCCCTCTCTGCCCCATCAAAATTACCATCACTACCATAACACTCTGTCCTATTTTCCTCAGGTGGTGTTCATTCTACAAGGCTATATTATTTTTTGACTTCTGTTTAGTGTTTTTCCTCCTGACTAGAAGGTAAGCTCCCTGAGTGTGCCGTGACTATCTGTTCACTGCTGTCCTCTCAGCACCAAGGACACTGATCACAGCAGGTGCTTACGAGGCCTCTGGTAGATGGATCAGTGAAGGAATTTACTCCTGATCTCACTCACAAACATTCTGGAGTCATCCTACCTTCTCTGATTTCATGACACTGCTTCCAAAGGAGTCCCTGGTATTTTTTATAAATTAAAAAATAAATCACCTTTAATTGTTTCTTAGAAATTCCTCAAGCGCTCTTGATATTAATGAATGATCCTGAGGCCTTGTGAGTCCCAGGAGGCATGGCAGAGTGGCTGTGACCCTTCAGAGGAGAAATCCAAGTCCTTACTCAGTTCCAACACTCTATTTCAGAAACCAGTAATGTGTGGCTTTATAGGTAGGATGTATGATTGCTGAACAGTCATAAATAAAAATTTATTAAACTCAATCATATTACAAACGCCCTGAAAAAGTTCATATTTAAAAGGAACCCATAATAATCCTTTTACAAAGGAAAAATATCGTTATACTATCAATAAAAATATCCTTATCGAATAATCATCCCTTAATTTGCTGGTGCTGTCGACATGTATTTGCATAGGTTACATTTTCTAAAAGCAGGGAACACTGGTGGACGGTTCTGGAAATTAACTCCCTTCTAAAGCATACCATGGCTCACCAGGGTGAGAAACTCTGCTTATGGAGGAATACGGATTAGATGGAAATAATAGACAAATCATTTCTTTTGACAGACGTGTCCGTAAACATGGCTCCCTTTTCTGGGAACAAGAAGCAGCAAAAAATTTTCCTCCATTCGTTCCTAAACAGTGACATGTTGTAGAGAATGGGGTTCAGGGCCGAGTTGGCAAACGTGAAGGCCACCACCCAGAAGAAGAGGGAAGGCCAGATGACCAGGTCTTGCTTGAAGTTCTGGATCAGGATGAGGAGGATGGTGATGATGATGGGGCTCCACATGATGAAGAAGGAGACCATGAGCAGGAAGAGGGTGCGGAAGAGCCGGAAGTCCTGCTGGGACACGCGGAGCTGGTGGCTCTCCGAGTAGGCCAGGCTCACCGTGAGCCTTTTCCTCGACGCCTTCGTGATCTGTGGAAACCAAAACAGAACCGGAGCCACAGTTTACTGCGGGATGCCAGGGAGCTCTGAGGAGCCCTGGGACTGGAACCTGCCATCCCCCCTGCACTGAGGACGTTCAGTCTCGGAACTTTGTGTGGAGGGAGCGTCCCCCTTCTGCTGCTGCCTGCACCTAAGATGTGCTCGAGAAACAGGGCACCTGGCTGGCCTCCTGAGCAATAAGGCAGAACATCACCCACCTTGACAATAGAGTTATGAGGGCAAGTGACAAGCCTGAATCATGTGGTCTCGAAGAGGAACGTGTGAACAGAAGCGCATCTTCCCTGTCATTTCTCTTTGAAAGAGATAAGTAATTAATTGTATATAAGGAATATGTGCTCAAGGCACAAGGTCAAACAATATAATACCAAAGGGAGTCAAATGAAAAATACACGGCCTCTAGACTTCTGCACCCTCCATTCCCACGCCCCAGAAGTGACCAAAGTAAACAGTTTCCTGTATGACCTCCTGGGAAAGTGCCACCTCCACACACATTCCTGGCTGTGGGATCACAGGCGTCTGCACTTGTGCTTTGTACACAGAGGGGACCATCCCGTGTGCCCCGCTGCGAGCTTTGCTTCTTTTTTACTTAGCAGTGTAGCATGGTGCTCATTCCGTGTCAGCACACAGAGGAGGCACCTCGTTCTTGTTATCTTGTTAGAGGTCGTGTATAGTCCAGTGTGGCTGTACCACAATTTATCCCGGCCCCTACTGTTGGGCATTCCATTTATTTAGTCTTGTGTGTGTGGAGAGGTGCTGGTTGAAGTGGCAGTACACATACTCTTGCCCCTCCCTCCGCTGCAGGTTGTCTGGTTGGGGACAGGCAATGAGAGGTGGCATAATGGTGTGGCCAGGCAGAAGGGAGCACTGGACCTCCATGCTAGGTTCCTTCATTCTCAGGGCCATAAGAAAGTGGATCCTGGTTTTGCCTACAGGTGCCTGAGCTGGGGGCTATGGAAGCGTGAAAGATGTCAGAACCAAAATGGAGTCACTTGTATTAAAAAAAAAACCCTAACAAATAGATCCGGGGAAGGCCATGAATGGAGGGCTCTCATGCATAAATGCCTGATAACAGGAACCATTACAAAACCACAGTCTGTAAAAACCACAACCTTGCACAAAGCCATAGCAAATGTACACACACACAACTATCCTTCTGCCAGGACATCTGCCCAGCAGCTGCCTGTCCATCCTTGAACCGGCACCACCCTTGTTATTGATCCTTGTAGCCAAGGATAATTATCTCAAAACAATTATGCAATTCTCCATTATTTTTTCTTTAAAAACCTTTGCCTTTATTTACTTCCCTGAATGCACAGTGTACTACAGCATGTGTATTCCCATTGCAATGCCCTATTTCTGAATAAAGATGCTTTTCTTATAGAGAGTCTCCCTCTCTGTTATTTAGGTTGATAGATGGTAGATGAGATTGGAGGCTGCTCATTTGTCAGGGCAGCTGCTGTCGGGTCAGCCCGAAAATGAAGCTGGCTCTGGGAAGGGCCATCAATGTCTGGTTGGGGTAGGTGATGCTTGGGAATGATCCCCTCATCCACAGGGCCTAGTAACACCATGGCCAGCCACAAGGAAGTCAGAGGCAGTGACCAGCCTCACATAGGCAATCACGCAAGTTTCTGTCCTTGAGGGAGATTGGGGCACTGACAGGGATGCCCATCTTTCTCTTCTATCCCACTCCTGACCCCGGGGCCACACACCCATCCCACACTGTGGGCAGGGGAAGCTTTGAATTGACTATGAGGCTGATGTTTTAAAATAAGCAGGCATATGCAAAAAGTGACTAGAAAGTTCTGGAATCGGAGCATTATGGCAGAGGAATTGAGGGTGATGAAGGCAACCCCGATTATATGGGCTTAGAAGGGGGTTCTGGACTCTTCTTTCAGGAAATCCTGCAGGTGTTGCTCCCTGGGTCTCCAATCCATTCAGTAAGAGGGTCTTGCTTTGGCATCTATCAGAGAGACTGGAGTTTAATTGGCAGCAGGCAGCTTGGACCCAGAAATGGCCCATCAATGAAATCAGGGTGACCGTGTGGCCTCTCTTCTTTTGTGAACCACACAAAAGCTTATAACACCTCAGAACCACAGCATGGAAGATAGATGGTGGCCAAGCATCATTTGAGCAGCACTCCTGAGACTTCACTGTTCCCGCCAGGCACGTAGCCTCCAGTCTCATCTGCCTTCTGTCAACCTAAATGATGGCAGAGAGGGAGACTCTCTAAAAGAGAATGATATATTTTCGGGAATGGGCATTGCAATGGGAATAGTAAACTATGTGCGTATTCAGGGAGGTAAAAGAAGACAAAGATTTTTAAAGGAAAAATAAGGATTACATAACGATTTTGAGATAATTATCCTTGGATACAAGGATCAATAACAAGGGCGATGCCAGTTCGAGGTTGGACAGGCAGTTGCTGCGCAGATGTCCTGGCAGAAGAATTTTGTGTGTGTTTAAGGTTGCAATTTTTAATAATATTTTTAATAAGGTTAAAAATCTTGTTTTAATGTAGATCCTGATTGAGCAGGTCTGGGGGCCAGCTGAGATTCTGCATTTCTAAGAAGCTCTTGCATGATGCCGCTGCTGCTTCTGGTCGTCTGAGAACCACACTTTGAGTAGCCAGGGCCTCATCCACCCCTTTATTCTACAGATGAGGAAACAGCCTCCTGCAATGATTCAGCCAAGCTACTTTGAAACACTAGCTTGAAAGTGAGCAAAAGGGCCGGCCCGGTGGCGCACTGCTACAGTGCACCGCTTGGGAGCGCGGCGGCACTCCCGCCGAGGGTTCGGATCCCACATACAGACCGGTTCCCACTCACTGGCTGAGCGAGGTGCGGGCACAACACCGAGGGTTGCGATCCCGTTGCTGGTCCCGGTCCGGTACGGGCACGACACTGAGGGTTGCAATCCGTTGCCGGACACGAAAAAAAAAAAAAAAAAAGAAAGTGAGCAAAAGCCCTGAGAGGCTGAGTCTGCAAGAAAGTGGAGCTGCCACTGTGGCGTGCCTCCGAGGCACAGGGTGGGGGGTGATCTGGGAGTGACCATCTGGGGGCTAGAAAGGGTCCAGTGCTCAGGCTCTGGATGTCCTGAGGATACATACCGTGTTTTGCCCCTATACCTAATACAAATTGTCCTCTAGGCACAGTGAGAGGGGAGAAGGCCTGGCTGTCCCCTATCACTCATGCAATTTCAATGTTGCCAGGAGGTATGGCAGGGTTGGGGTGGGGCTGGTGATGGTGGGGTGGGGACTGGGGCAGTGCACAACTAGCCTGAGATGTGAGGGGACACTGAATCTATTAGCTTGACATGCCAGCCTGTGACCTCTGACCCCAGGGAAGAGATCCAATGTAGAATGACCACATTAGAGGTCCTCGCCAACGCCCACTTGCTTAGTCTGGCCCTGTGTTGTTCTGCTTTTCTGGCAGGATGAGGCTTGTGGCCACACATGGGTGCATCTGTCATCTGGAGACTGAATGGCTATGGATTTCATTGCCAGTTCTATGCTGGTCCCCTAGGCTCATTCCCCTAAGACTTCTGAATCTCAAGAGGGGAAGTAATTAGAAGGTAATTAACATCAGTCACAATTTAGGCAAGTTTAACTCCAAGATCAGAATGGCTTCAAATATTTCCTTAGAATATTTCTAACTTGGGCCGGCCCGTGGCTCACTTGGGAGAGTGTGGTGCTGATAACACCAGGGCCACGGGTTCGGATCCCATATAGGGATGGCCGGTTAGCTCACTGGCTGAGCATGGTGCTGACAACACCAAGTCAAGGGTCAAGATCCCCTTACCGGTCATCTTTTTTTTTTTAAAAAAAAAAAAAAGAATATTTCTAACTAGCTAATTAAAGGGTAGCCAGTTAATCATTTTATCATTGAGTGGGATTGCTGGTGTGCTCTGTGCGGTAGTGTAGACCCCCCTGCTGGTGATGGAGACAAGGTGCTGAGATGCTTTCCTCCCCAGCAGCTTCCCAACAAGAACAGGAATCGGGATCTCTGGAGCTTTACTGGGGGCTCCCCAGGTGCCAGGCACCGTGCTGCGTCTGCATTTGTTTTATCAACTGTGACATTTAGTCTTCCCAACTATTCTTTGCATTTGTACTATCATTATTCCCACTTCACAGATGAGGAAATTAAATCTCAGAAAATTTAAGTTACTTGTTCAAGGCTGCTCCACTGATAATAAATGGTCAAAGCCCACATGTGTGAAAATCTAGCTCAGTGGAGTTAAAGATTAGCCAAGTCATAAAAGGCTCAAAAGGGGCTGCCATACTATTGAGCCCTCCCCGCCGTCCACTACCCTGCAGGGTGGGGGTTGCTTAGGTGTCATAATCCACCATTTTGGACTCCTAGTCTGGAGGTCGCATTGGCACATCCAAGTCTGGAAGTTGCTGTGTGAAAGCTAAGTTAGAGCTTGTGTTCAGGTGAAAGCTGGTTAACCTAAGGAGCCTGCGCTGGTTGATAGATCTGGGAGGGTAACAGCCTGGCAGGCTGGCAGGTGGGTGGGCTGCAGGGGAAACAACACTGCCTCTGAGTGGGCGTGTCACTCTAGGCCTCAGCACAGTCTGGTGGGGGCACCAGGGCTGATTCCAATGCCACCTTCATCCCCCATGCTGCCCACATTATCTGCCAGGGAGAATAACAATGCATCCCCGGTGTAGTGTCTCATAAACATTTGTTGAATGAATGATGTTGATGGAAGCTTTCATTTATTGAGCATTTACTGTGTGCCAGCCCCTTACCTATCACTTAGTTTACCTCTCTAAATTCTCCCAACAATTCCATGACCTGCGTACTTTGATGATCCCCACTTTACAGATGGGAAAGCTGAGGCTCAAAGAGGTTTAGAAACTTGCCCAACAGTACCCAGCTAAGAAGCTGCAAAGCTGGGTTTCAAACTTGGCAGTCTGACTCCAGCTCGTGCTCTTAACCTTAAACTAGTCTCTTCCTATTCTCTATCTCCATCAATGGAAATCCTCCTGCCCAGCCTTTAACTCCAAATTCTAATGCTAGAAACTCCGAGAAGGCTTTCTGGTTCATCTCCTGTTTGGCATCCTGCAGCGTTTTCTCTCAGGCATTCACATGGCACTTGCTACATATACTATGTGTTAGATGTCCAAGCATCGTCCTGACACTCACCGGACTATGGCTCCCTGGGGACTGGGACCTTAAGTGGGACATCCCTGTGCCCTTTGTGGCCCAGGGGTCTAGAAGGTGCCTGACAATGACTGTGAGGGAACGGACAAAGCAGGCTAACTCACGGGCCAAGTGCGTAAGTGGTTAGGTCTTTTTTTTTTACTGTTGACGTGCTACTATTCCTTTCCCTCCCCAGTTCTCACGACTTGTAGAGACTGGGGAGGAAAATGGGGCTTTATGCCCAAGTGTGGCTCTTCCCCTGCTCCTCCCGTCCCCAGATGTCAAGGCTGGTGCACATTTACCCAGGATTTCACATGTTTCCGGCACTGGGCAGAATGCTTGATGTGCTTTTAGATTAAACGAAATGCTCGATTAACTTTTGAGGAATAAGTCTAATCCTCAGCACAAGCCTCTGGGGTAGGTTCTGTGGTTGCCTCATTTTTGGAACTAAGGCAGAGGCTCTGAGAGGTGAAGTGACTCACTCAAGGCCTCAGGGTCAAGTGGGGTTAGTGTGCCCCACACTGAGGCGTCGGCACCCTCTCTGCCGTGGCACACTGCCTGCTGTGGCACACTGTGGATGTGATCCAGCCACAGGGCACAAGATAAAATGCAAATGCATGGGCCCACCTTCAGACCTTCCGATTCTGTGGCGCTGAAGGGGGCCCAGAAATCTGCACTTTTCCTAAACTCCCAGGTCATTCTTGCTCCCTCAAGCATGTGATCCAGGACGGCAGGCTTGGTTTGGAGCTTTTCTCTCAGTCCTTTAAAGGGAGCTCCTTTCTGGGACTCGCTACCTCACACCCACAGGAGCTTCTGAAGACGACGGGGGACACTCCTGCTCCAGCAGACCATGGTTGCTGACAGGTGGTGCGGGCAGAGGGTGTTCCCCCTGACATGGGTTGGGCCCCTGGGGGCTGGGTCTGCTCTGGGTGCTGCCTGGCCCACCAGCAGCCTCTCAGTTAGAATCCAGACAAAAGACTCCATCCTTCCAGAGGGTCCACCTCCCTTTCCATGACCAGCATGCAGGCCTCCAAAGCCGGGGAATAAGGGCCAGGCATGGGGAAAGAGCTTCACGTTCACTGCCTGACACCTTCGTGCTCAGCCGAACCAGATTGTATTTCTCAGTTAAGCTGTGAGATAGGCTGAGATATGCAAGCCATAGACTCACGCACTCATTCAACAAATATTTATGGAGCCCTACTATGTACTTAGCACTCTTACAGGTGCTAGACACACCGCAATAAGCCAGGGAGCCCTGCCCACTCCGCACTTCCATTCTCGTGTGTATGTGGGGGCTATGGGAGCGGGAGTGATAAATGTACACACCGTTGCAAAGGGAGGAGGCATCTCGGCTTGCCATGACCACGGTTGCTGGGTGATGGTGTAAACCAAGCCCCAAACAGCTGGCAGGTTGACAGTCTGATTGAAGGCACATAGGAGTCACCGGGAGGCTATTCCCTAGGGAAAACTGTTGATTGGAAAAAGCCACTGAAAATGTATGGCACGTGTAAGTCACGAGACAAGAGGAAGCAGGGAAAGCAGAAGGGTGAATTAGGTCACTGTCCCAAGCACATGAGGCAGCCCCAGAAAGGTGATCGGCAGGGGAAGTGACAAGGGGAAGTCTGCTCTGATTCTTGCCCAGGTCAGAACCAGCAAAAAGGGTGGGGACTTCAGAGCAGTGTTTCCCAAGGGGGGTTCCATGGAGCAATAGTCTAGAGAGATGCTCTGTGGGAAAAGGGGGCTCTGTAGTCAGATATATCAATGCCGCCTACACTATTTCTGTGCTGGAGATTCCCAAAGTATACGAGTGTACTTCAAAAAGTCTATGGAAAGATAGAATTACAAGATAACATGAATCTTTCCATGAACTTTTTAAAGACTCCTTGTATTAGCAATAATAAAGGCTCTGAGAAGTCCTGCAGCCAAGAATCCCATCTAGCCTTGATCATCCCAGCATTTCCCAAACTCCTTTGACCATGGAACCCTTTCTAACACCTAACATCCCACGGAGCTCTACAGAGCACTCTAGCAGAGACTCTGCTTTAAAGCAAGAGCAGATCAGGGAGACTTGAAAGAGACACTTCGAAAGCCTGGAGATGGAATCTGGGTTAGAGGCAGTTGTGAGGTGAGAGGTGAGGACTGGTGGGGAAGTAGTTGTGTGTAGTTATGTGTTCCATGGCTTAAAATGATTTGCCAATTGTTTCTTGATGAATATAGCTAATTAACCTCGGTGTTCAAATGATTTTACAGAGTTATGCTCTTGACAGAAAAGGCTTGGGCAGAAAAGCTGATTCAGCATGTCTGAGTCATGTCTATCTTCAGAGGGGGGGGAAATGCAAACTCGGAGACCCTACCCAAACACCTCATCCACCTGCCCCCAAGTCCTCCTGGAGGACTCCCAGTACTGAGTGAGGACAAATGTCATAGGCCTCCTGGGAAATGGGCTATAGTCAGTTTTGCTAGTGGGGTGAAAAGTAAGTTTTTTAAAGTCTTATATTTGCATTAACATTGTGATTTTTAAAACATTATCATATGCGATCTTTTGTGTTAAACAATCCACGGAGGTATATCTGGCTTCAGCCGAAACTGAGGCACACATTAGTTAAGTGACTTGCCCAAGGTCACACAGTAATGAAACTTGGACTAGAACCCTGGTCTTACCCCTCTGTCCAGTGATTTTCCCACTGACCCAGAAGAGAAGGCCCTGTAGGACCTTTCAATGTGATCCAAGGCTCATGCTTCACCCATCCAACAAGTGCTTATTGAGCACCTACAGTGAACAAGCAGGCTCTGTTCTAGGCATGGGGACATAGCAGTGAACAGTCTCTGCCCTCATGGAGCCTGCATTCTATGAGCAAGATAGGAAATTGTCATAAAGGAAAAATGATAGGGGTTGTAAGACTTTGAAGAGAAATAAGCCATGGTAAGGGATTCGAGAATAATGAGTCTTCTCTATCAGAGTCTTTTGGGTAAAGACCTAAATGAAGCAGGGAAATCTGAGGAGCAGAGATCCAGGAGAGGAAATGGCAGGTGCAAAGGCCCTGTGGCAACAGTGTGTTGTCACATGTATAGGACAGCCCCAAAGCCAACACGGATACAGAGGGGGGAAATATGAATTGAGAGGGGCAGGCAGGGGCCAGATTACGTAGGGCCTTAAAGTGAGGACTTTGGATTTTGCTGCATGTGTCAGGGAAGTGACAGGATCTAAATTACAGTCATGCGCCACTTAATGACAGGGATACATTTTGAAAAGTGCGTCGTTTGGCAATTCTGTTGCTGTGGGAACATCATAGAGTGCACTTACACAAACCTAGATGTTACAGCCCACTACACATCTAGACTGTATGATACAGCCTATTGCTCCTTTGAGTTATGCACTGTGCTACGACATTATGACAGCTACGGTGTCACTAGGCAATAGGAAATTTTCAGCTCCATTATAACCTTCTGGGACCACCATCATATCTGCGCTTCGTGTTTGACCTAAATGTTATCACGCAGTGTGTGGCCCTTACTGAGAGCACCATTTCACAACATTGTGAGTCACGACAGGTCTGCTGTTACCTCCAGGAGCTGTCCTGGCTGTGGGTTGAGATGCAGAGTGTTTGGAGAGCGATGAACTGCTGTTTAGAGGCAGGTGGGTAAGAGGACACCTCCCCCGACCCATCAGGTCTCCTAGAATTTTTCCACGTGGGCCCCGGCTGTGAGAAAAAGATGGGAGGTGGGTAGGAAATCCTTCCTCCCTCAGCAGGCAGCTGAGAAGTGGGAGGATGAGTGAAAGGGGGCACAGCAGAGCCCTCGTGGCCTCTAAGGGACTCAGGAGTGGAGTCTCCCGAGGAGGAGAGGTCAAATGCTGCCACCGCTTCCACCCAACCCTCCTTTAGCGTCGCTTTCTTGTTCTTGCCATGCTCCAAATCTGGGCCTACTGTTGTTGTTTTTTTTTTGTCTTTTTTCCGTGTCCGGCTACGGGATCGCAACCCTCAGTGTTGCCCCCGTACCGGACCGGGGACCGGCGACGGGATCGCAAGCCTCGGCGTTGCTCCCGCGCCTCGCTCAGCCAGTGAGCGGGAGCCGGTCTGTACAAGTGGGATCCGAACCCTCGGACGGGAGCGCTGCCGCGCTTCCCAAGCGGCGCACTATCAGGGCCTACTGTTGATTCTCGAAATCTCTGACGCACCTTTTCCCAGCACGCTCTGAGAGAAGGGGTGGAAGAACAGCCTTGTCTAACAAATGACAACAGGCATAATTGATTCAGCACCTGCTACGGGCAGGCACGACCCTACATGTCCCACCAGTGACATCTCTTACACGCCTCACAACAACCTTACAGTGTTGGAACTATAATGGCCATTTTGCAGATGAAGGCACTGAGGTTCAGAGAGGTTAAGTAACTTGTCCAAAGCTACACAGCAAATAAGTGGCAGATTCAAGACTCAAAGCCAGGTTATTAAAATAACCCTTTCAAGTCTCCCTGTCTGTCTTCATGGCCCTTGTCTCCTCCCTTACACCCCTATTCATCCTTTACACTGTGCAGCATTTAATGATTTGCAAAATGTTGTCGCACAAAGTCTCCACCTTGTGTTCTGGGGCTTTGCAGCTTTAAATAACAGCACCTTTGTCTGTCTCCCCTTTTCCCCTTTGGTGTCCAATCTCCTTCTAGAAAGAGACTGTGACTTGCTCATTCTTGACCCACCTCGACCCCCTACCAGCAGTTTGCACAGAGTGGACCCTTAACAAATGTCTGAGGAATTAAAATGTTAGGACCAGACACTTTAATTCCTCAGACATTTGTTAAGGGTTCACTCTGTGCAAAGTGCTGGTATTTGTTAAGGTTTAAACTACGTGGATTTAAATCTTGTTGCTGCTGCCACCTATGACCTGTGTGATCATGGGTAAGTTACTTAACCTCTCTGTGCCTGGATGTCCTCATCTTTAATTCTTATTAGGATTAAATGAGTTCATTCCTGGCACATGGTAAATACTACATAAATATTCGTTAAACAAATTTTTAAAAATTCATTTGACATCTCTCCCTCTTTCCTTTACTTCTTTCCTTTTAACTTAATGATGATAGGTAAAATTTACATAGCATAGCATATGCCAGGACTTTGTTGCAAGCACTTTCCAGGCCTTAACTCCAGGCCTAAATCTGCCTCATACACTTGAATAAGCCCCAGGCTGTGGGTCACTTCAGGGGTCAAAATCATCTGGTGAAAAAGAGTCTAGGGAGTAACACTCATGGAGACCACATCCTATAGGACCCAGGGATTAGCAGACCTGGAAAAAGGTTGGCATGGCTTTGGGTTCTGAGCATATAAGTCACAGATCCTCAACTAAAGAAAGGACCATAAAAGTGGCCGTCCAGCAAGCAGGATCTACAGGGCATCACTTTGATATGCCTGTTTTCCAGAAGACCCCTACATACTATGCTATAAAACCAAGATTCAACAACTGTAAACCTCCAAGGGGACTCAAAAGCTTTGTGTTAAACTTCTAGAATGGGCATAAATTCATGTACATGCTGTGTGTCTGGGCTGGCACCTTACATGCAAATGGGCTGCCTTAAGAGGTAGGAAACAGAGGCTGGTCCATCTTTTTTAAGTCCCCGTACATATTTGCTTTGAAGGGAGAGATCATTTCCCGTGTTGGTACACATCTGAACTGAACACTCCCCGCGGGCAGGGAGCAGTGACTGGAAGGTTACAGGAGGGGCTTCTGGTAATGTTCTCTTCTTGATCTGGGAGCTGCTTTCATGAGTGTGTTCAGCATGTGAGCTGCGCATGTATGCTGGGTGTGCTTTTCTATATGCATACTTCAATAAAAAGTTTTAAAAAGTGTATATTCTCCATAGCTGCAATGTTTGTGATGGGGAAACACTGGGCACAACCCAAAACCCCACAAAACAAGGTCACATCAGTATGATGGAAGACCATGCAGCCATTAAAAATAATGAGATAGAAGTATAGGAACTGATGTGGAAAGGTGTCAAGATATAGTGTGAGCTGAAAAAAGGAAGTTACAGAGCAGATAGTATATCTCATTTCTGAATAAAGAACATTGGATCGAGCAGTGTCAAACAGCTACTTGACCATTTTAACCCACAATGTCATATGATTCATCAAATATACACACGGTATATATAAATATATGTAAATTTGTTAGAACAATAATCTAAAAAAACATACCTTGAGTTGTTAAGAATCGGGTAGATTTTCAGTTTCTTGTGTTATACATTTCTGCATCTGTTTTCATTTTAATTTTTTATAATGAGCTTGTATTACTTTAGTGACGAGCAGAAAAATAATCGTCACAAAGATATAACTTATTAAAAAAGAAACACAAACCAAACTCTCGTCCCTCGGTGTGCAGAGGGTGTGGATCTAGGCAGTGAAGCAGGATTGGACGGAGGTGAACTTGAAGGTATCTTCCCACCTGGAAATTCTGAGATTCTACCTGAAATGCCCTGAGCCTGAGTGAAGTTCAGCTGCAACACTTGAAGCAAACGTACCTGTAAAATTTTGGAGTAACTGATCACAATGACCAGTCCTGGCACCAAGAAGTTCAAAGTAACGAAAGATATATCCCATGAGATTTCTCCGGCAATGCTGGGCCAAACCAGTGTACAAGTCGGAATTTCCTAGTTACAAAAAGAAAAATCATATCATTTCAATCCTGGCTTCTTATTTGGTCTCTAGCTCAATCCTACTAGGGGTTACCTGGCACTGTTGCACTGTTACAAAACTGGCATGACAGTAAATCCTAGAATCCCTCCCATTGCTCACCATAACCCCACTCTGACCCTCAGAATAACCATAATTATTACTCCCGTTCTCCACAGGAGGCAACCGAGCATCAGGGTGACAGGCTGGTAAAAGCTGGAGTCAGTCCCCACTTACCTTGGGCTGAGATGCAAAGAGCTTTTGAGACTCTCTTCCAAACCTACCATTTTTAAAAAGAGTTGACCCCTGAAAGGCTATGCAGATTGTAAGTGACTTGCCACATATATAAGCATATCAAAACAGGAACAAAGTTTCAGTGCTGTCACACTATGTATGCTGAAGGCAACAGGGTCTATGGTAAGGCATCAAGCGTTCATTTGGGGGACATTCAGCTGTCTAATGTGTGTCAAGCTGCATCAAAGAATCCAGCCTTCATTTGGCCCAAGAAGACAGTACCAGTGCCCATATTCGGGAACTCTGACCTCACGTGCCTCATCTCCAGAGGAGCACACTTGAGCCCCAAAGCAAACATCAGCCAACTCTCAGTCAGTTCAAGATGCAGAACCACTGGAACGTGGCAGAAAAGCATGAAGGCTCATGACCTTGCTGCTGTCACTGTGTTGTGTTGAACTCAAATGTTTGATACTAACTACAAAACCCACAACATGTGGGAACCTCACTAAATAGTTACTAAGAGCTGCTCCAACAGTTTCTTCCAAGGAATAAATAAGTCAGTGAAAATAGACATAAATATGTATATGTGTGTATGTATCTTCCCATACCCAAACTTTCTGTGCCACCTGACTATAGGAACAAAACGATTTAGAAAACAAGTTGCCCTAAACCCTTCCAGACTTGTAGAGCAGATCTTGAAGAGCACATGCTGTGTAAAAAGATCACATTATTGATTTTGGGTGGACAAGGCATCTTAACCAATGTCCAGAAGTAGTGTCATCATCCACAGCACCATTCATTCATTTGACCAACACGTACTGAATGCTATACTAGGCAAAAAGCAAAGAATTGTTAACATTTCCCAACATGTCTCCTAACTGGATGGCCAAACCCAAAATACAGCCAAATAGCCACTTGTTTTCTCATTCAATATTAACAGAAAATAGCAGCATCTAATATTCACTGAGTATTTACTGTGCACCAGGAAACAATTTACATACATTATTGAATTTAAAGCTTACAACAACCTCATGGAAGTGCATATTATTGTTTTTCCCATTTCACACAGGAGAAAACTAAGGCTTAGAAACATCCTCTTAAAAAATACTCTAAAGCAGTAAAGGTGTAGTTTTAAAAAAATAATACAATATTTTCTCCAAAGAGATATATGGTTATAAGAGACATCCAAGGACCTATCAAGGAAACTCTAAGGCAAGACAAGAGGGAAGAATGCTTTCATTATATTTGTCCCTTGAAAAGGGAGATGAGGACATTGCTTCCTTTTCCTGTTTTGTTAGATGGCTCACAAATGGACTGGGCTTTCTAAAAATGTGTCTCTCCATCCCCACCATCTGCACTTGATGGGAGAAAGTTTAATAAATCTTTCTACATCTTGGTGATTGGAAGGGAACTTGTGTCTCTCAGTGTTGGCAGCAAGGCTACCACTACTCTTTAGATAATCCACACAGACCGCACTTTGTACTGAGACCTCTGCCCACCAGGGACCCCTCATTCCAGTACATCATTGAGCAACACATATGGAAAGATATGCTGAAGCTCCAATTGGAAGCCATATATGTGACTTGGTCTCTAATTCCTACACTGTGATGGAAAAATGTATAGGGACAGCAGAAAAACAAGCGAATTCAGAACCATTTCTTGAG